CACATCAAGGAAATGCCCAGACCTCTATCAGATGAATGTGCTCTAACATCTGGTAGGTCAATGGGAACTCCGGCTCAGCTGCTCATTGCAAGCAGAAGTGAATTATGCCAGATGGATGGGACATCCTATTTCTGAAATTAGGGCGAAATTTGACAGCCTTCGATCTACGGTGAGAGATATATACTGGGAATAAATATGATGGAATACATTACCGGTCTACATATATGGCCGACTACGAATGCTTAATGAATATGACCAGAGGCGTTTACCTCGAACTGTCTCTAGTAACAGACAAATAACACTTGCTCAAATCACAACTACACTCAAAGCAGGAGGCACCAGACGAATATCCAGGCTAGGCGATATTGGAGCAGAAGATTCATCAGTGTTCTTAACATCATAAAACTTGAAACAGTGCATCAACTGGGTCATGATATCGCCAATTGGGCACAAAGACCGCCAACATTTGGCATGACTCAATGAGTGATGCTTTCAAGCTGATGTCGGTTGAGACGTGGAACAGATCCCATTAAGCTATGGAAAGGGATGATCGCTTTATGCGTGACACCGACAATCATTATTCAGTGTTGACTTTTGTTCACATTGTTTATATGAACCATAGTTTCATTCCACCATAGAATCGAGAAGAATATATCGGATAAAAGGACGAGGTTTCCTTAGTTCAAAGGGTCTAAACACTTCCAACACTGGTAGCACCCCCACCTTTCTCTTCCAAAATGCTAAGCACTTCAAAAATAAGCGAATAAATTACGCTGTGTGAAAGCTTTGAAGAAAATGCACTTCCTGTTTAGAAATGCTTACAAGTAGCTTTATATTTACATTTCATGGTTAAAGCCACATCACCATGGTATGAACTTAGTTCCGTGGCTTGCGATGTATAGAAGCTAATTTTCCTTTAATCATGATATTTTGTTAGCTATAAGAGGCCTTACTTTGATCGTGTTAATCATGACCCTTTAGTGTCCTTATGCTAGGATAAACTAAGTTTATACGCAGACTAATATATTCGTTATTAGGATTGCTTATATTTTAAAATAGACTTGACGTAATAAATCAACATTCCGTGTCTTAGATGGCTGTATATATAGCTAATTTTTAACCACATTTTACTAATGATTGTCCTTTGGTACAAAACCATTCTCATATATTCATCAACGTGGATTGAGGAAACTAAACTAAGTTTAGTATAAAGCCATGAATGTTTTTCATCAATTGGTTGTGATATATAACTTTCCATAATGCGTGGTCTGTACTGGGCATGACAATCTACATCCGCGTGCTGGGTAAGACGAGAAACTACGCCCAGCAGCAAGGCCTCTGATCAGATTTTGAGGAGCGTAGAACCTCCTCTTAATTGCTGGTGTTCCCAGGTCTACCCTGACTTGGAGTGGTAGCACCTGTTAGGGTCCCAGCTATGGGCAAATAGTTAACCCCGAAACTGAGGTAAACAGTATTATAAAAGTGTAAAAATAGGTTTTAATACCAGAAATACTTTGTAAAAATTTTACCGGAAATAAATTTTTGAAGAAAAAAATATTACGAGCTATACATTTTTGCTGGAAAAATATTACCAGAAATAGATTTTTGTCAAAACAATATTACCAGGAAAAAAGTTTTCGGCATTAAATAATCCATTGAGGTTGATATGCCGTAAAAGCACAAGCAAACTATAATGCGTGGTAATTCAGTGACAGTCGTTTCAAGGGATCGGTCAGAGGTTAAGTAAAACATGGTTTTGTTCTAAAATAGTTTAAGACTATCAAAATTTCAGTACTTTTGGTAGGTTTTATTTTGGAATACTAGGTAGCCTAAGAATTTATAACAAGCTAAGTAAAGCGTTCTTTTCGCAGATAGCTTTTTGTTAAATATTCTTGTGTCGTTTCAGGAAAACTAAGTTTCTCCACTAAGGATTTTAGGTTTTGCTAATCAGAGAACTGAAAAATATAGGGAAAAAATCTCGTTGGTTTTTGACAAAACTTCAACAAATGAATTACTACCCAAATTAATTATTACATATACAAAATTATAAAAAAAAAAAAAAAAAAAAAAAAAAAAAATGAAATGAAGATATACCATTATGTTAATACGAGACATTGCATTGGAAGCGAGTAATACCTCCGATTTGTAATTAGGAAAGACCAGTCTGTATAAACAACGTGTAACAGCATATTGTTTAACATTACGAGATTGTGCAGAAAGGTTCTTCGTCCAACCGACTTCCCAAAATCAGACAAAACATTAGAATTGTTTATAGAATCCCTTGTTTGAACCGTGAGATTTTCAGCGCCCCATGGTATAAATTTGCGTAATTTGAAAGTGTCCACATGTTATACATTTTCTTCATTTATCTGTTTTCATAACAGCGTAGGTCCAAGTTTCGTGAACCTAACTAAGTACACTTTAATTATTTTAATACATTTGTAGATTTTGGCAACTGTACACTACATTGCGATTCCAATTTCAGCTGTGCGAGTATGATATTAGTTAATGAGTAGAAAATATAGATGAAATGCTGCACATGTGCATACCATAACGTTTTTCTACGAATGTCGAAGAAAAAAAAATCACATAGGTATCATAATGAGTATTTCTTGTGGGGCGGAGTTATGCTGAAGACATAAGTGTTTTCATAAATTTAAATGCAATTCAATCGCCATCTTTTATCATCTTGAATCACGTTCGTCTTTTATTTTTTCCTCCATCCCCCTATATCCAGTGACATTCCCGCTTTGCTTGGGGTGAAATGATTAAAAAAAAAAAAAAAAAAAAAGTGGTCTAACAAGTAGATCAAATAAAGCTTTCCTATACAGGAACTGATCTGGAACTGGAATGAAAGAAGCGATGGCAAAGACCATCAATTTATCGTAAAAATTCAGCATGTGGAATTCTAAAACTATAAAGACTTCAAATAAATCTGTGTATGGATCGCTTATGACAAATTTAGTATAAGAAATTGGAGAGGTTTTGATAGGGGGTACTTTAACACAGCACATTAATATAACCCCCTCCCCCCCCAAAAAAATTTTAATCTAGAAATCTTAAATAGCCTCATCACATCTATATCTTATTTGTATGTTATACATAGCGCCCAACTTATTCCGAAATATCTAAATTATCTGTATACAACTACTTTCTCAGATCAATGATTAAAAATGTCTTCAATTGAATCCATCCTGTAAGTCATAAAGGGGGCAATCCATTGTCAGACCCTATAGACAAGGCTTTACAAAATAATAATAAAAAAAACAAAAAAAAAAACTCGGTGAATATTCAATCGGATATGAATATTTTTCCCACAATTAATCCAAGTGATTGCTCAGTTTATGTCTACCCAGCCATGCCATGAACGCTAATAAAATTTAAAACTATCCCACAAGTCTGTAGATTTAGATTTTAACTCTATAAATGAAACATGCCTTTTCGCGTTGAACCGGGACTGTTGCTATCGTAACTTGTACGCAGAGTGAAGCGACTTGATAGCAACTTAACCTTGAACTGGGTCGCGCATGCACAGCAAGTTATAACGTTCTCGCTCACTTAATTTGTTTATAGCAGTACTCGGAATGAAGGTGTGTAGAGTGTGGTCGTCTCATCACATCAGCGATTCCATCAGTCGCTATGGCTTGTGCAGCAATTTTTGGCCAAGTATAACACTCCGCAGGTTTGACTACCACCATAATTTTTAGATTCATCTCTTGCGGCTGTTTTCTCTCTTAAAAAAAAAAAAAAAAAAAAAAAAAAAATCACACTTGAAAGAAACAAAATTTCAAGACAATGAGGGAATCAAAAAGAATGCGACGAGGCAGATACTACTGGATAAGTAACATCTGCCTCTTCGCATAAAAAAAACGTTCAGGAAGGCTTCTATCAATGGAAACGACGCTGGATAAAGTTTGTGGTTTAAGAAGGTAACTACTTCGAAGGAGATTAAATGCAGAGTTTATATGTGTGGTAGTTTTTATAGTACCAGTCGAAAAAAAAAAAAAAAAAAAAAAAAAAAAATCAAAGATCGTATACATCTTAGGTTTCAAGGAAAAAGTATTCTTCAGACGAGACAATTTCATTTAGTACCAATTGTCGACACGTCCGTCTATAAAATTGACAATGCAGAATAGACGCACGCAGATGTGTGGGTAAAATTGACATTAGGTTGTCCCTGCTGACCTGCGAAATCACTGTTCAATTTTTTTTGGAAACCGCTTTTGAATTCTAAATTTGGTTAAATGCAAAAACGATCTTAACCTCATTTCCCAGCCTTGACAGAGTTCAGAATCGTTTACGTAACCTCGTGGGAGACGAATTGTTTCCCACCCTACAATCTCTTTCCCCACAGACGAAACGTTGTTCGCCACTCGCTATCCTCACTATGTTCATGCCAGATGTTCTGGCGAGCTACATTCCTTAGTTTTATTAGTCAATGCCTTCATAGAAGTCGCCATACCACATAAACAGGATCGAATAATTCCTACATATTTTATTGGTAAGGAAGCAACTCAACCAAAAATGCTCCTTCGACAGAACCCTTACTTTACAAACCAAACTCCCGTGATGATGCTTTCCTGATCACTACTATCTTGACTTCAAGTATAGAGACAACTGTTATATATCCTGCATATCATCATAATCATTCACATTTTGCTTCCTCCTATTACGCCTTTCAACAACTTCATAAGGTAGCCGTCTACCTTGAGTGGCTAGTGGGTCTTGTATTAAAAAGACATTTGAAAACCGATTCATTTTCTATGCCTTAAACATTTGCATGTTATTTAAAGACATTTTTTTTTATTGTAATAATTTTTTGAGAAAGATTTAGTGATACAAATTCACGTAACCCCATAGCTGGAGAGAGAAGAGGTGAATTTATATCTTTCCTGATGGTATTTCGCGTAAGTGAATATAACGCACATGACTGGAATTGGAACTCGGCACTCCGATTAAGAACTGAGCCATTATCCATTGCACCAACCGCACATTTAAACTTACAGCACCTGGTATTCCCAAGCGGTCATCCATCTAGGTACTGACCAAGCTCATCATTGCTTAACTTCGGCAATCATACGGGAACCGATGTTTCAATTTGATATGGTTGTAAGCCAAATTTGAAAAGACATTGCAATGTATGACTAATTATTTTGCTTGACACACACTATATATCTCACAATAGCAGATGCATAAGTATATTTAACGGTCATCGTAATAAAAACTATTTGAATCCATTAATACAAGGATGTGCGGACGTATTATTTAGGGAATACTTAGTTATTTTGCTTAAGGCATTAAACTTAGGTTTTTAAGCGATTTACGCTGTAGATGGAAAACGATCAAATTTAGGTAGAATCATTAATGTAGAAAATCCTATCGTCTAGGAAGCAGAGCAAGTTATTTTTAACATTTATACTTGTGATACACACACTTACTTGAATGCTTCCATCACTGCTGTGTCAGCAGTAATTCTAAAAGTGATTTCATCACTAACGCCAAGGTTATAGATTCCGTATGGACTTAAGTGTTAGATATATAATGTAAAAACAAAAACCCGAACAACAAAAGTATGATTTAACACAAAAAGAGACAGACAAAAACAAAAAAATAGAGACACACACACACACACGAGAGAGAGAGAGAGAGAGAGATACACACACAAAAGAGACACAAAGAGAAAGACATACACAAGAGACAAAAATAAAGACCCCCCCCCCAAAAAAAAAAAAAAAAAAACAGAGTTGGAGTGAGCTGTCCACATGGCGAGGATTGGGAAAGTTCAACTTAGAGCTCTTCAGTTCTCTGATTAGTTTTCTCTCATTCGATACAAGAATTCATTTAGCATGGCGTTCATCTAGCATTGTGCAGGGCGGGGGGAGTAGAGGAGAATAAGCTAATTTTATGGATTTGAGAAAGTAAAAACAAAAAAAAACTAATTGGTAGGCGGACCGCATGTTGTTGAAGGTGTGTTGCATTTCTCAAATACACTATAGAGATATGTGATACCCTGAAGTTCAGAAGAGTTGTCAACGTGCGAAATCCTCGTCAGAAGAAAGAAAAACAAATGATATAGAGTCGGCTGACGGTCGCAATTTGGTCTCATGTTGCCATTTTCGTTTCACACACAAAAAAAGAGGAAAGATGTGAGTTGTGTCGCTTCATACGATCATGAATTAACGAATTATGAATTAGCGATTATTGGTAAAAGGGATTTCTCCCTCCAAAATGTTTCAATGTATATTTTTACCTCGAAGCAAACAAGCGGGCCTGCAACTGCCAGAAATGAAAAGTTATAGGAAGAGATAAAGTCACTTTAAAGAAATATTAGGTTGGTGCAAAAATAATGACGTAATAATGTCGTTTTTTGACGTATTTTTAACGTCAAAAACGACATTAATACGTCATTATTTTTGCACCAACCTAATAGATATATTAAGGGATTGAAAAATAACATGCGAAAGGAAAAATATACTGGATTGCCATGTGATATTGACCCTGCAATATGGTAGTAAATGCTAAACAGTTTAAATACAAATAAAAGAGATGGGACCAAAAATGTACTTTCTACCAATGAATATATATATATATATATATATATATATATATATATATATATATATATATATATATATATATATATAGAGAGAGAGAGAGAGAGAGACAAAACACAGAGAGTGAGCGAGAGAGAGACAAAAACAGAGAGAACGAACTTACCCTGTAACTCTTTCTACTGGCCACTAAATTGCTCTCCTGAAGCGTAGATTAGTTTTGCATGTTAGGAACTAGTCTTGCAATTATATGCAAGGCAAAAGAGGACATCTTTATGTTCACGCGTTTCGTTCCTTGTGTAACGTTAGTAAAACACGTGTGGAAAATTTACTTAATAATTTGGAAAAAATACAGTTAAATTTTCAATTTTTTTAAATTGGAGAACGATTTAAAATATATATAACAAAAAACAAAAAAAAACAAAAAAAAACAACTTACTTTGCGCAGAAATGTAAACTATAGAAGACGCTAAGTGACGTAATTTTTCAGCCTATTAAACGGGAGCGAGTTAATGTTATTAATTTTTATTTAATTATTATGTAATTATTTTTGTTTATTAATTTTTTTTATTAATTAAGCAAAATAAAATAATTACATCTATATAACTCACTTTTGTTTAATAGGCTGAAAAATTAGAGTCCTCCATATTTTAGCTTTCCTTACACAATAAGTTTAGAATATTTTAGAGCATTCTCCAATTCAAAATTTGAAAACTTAATATTTTTCTCCGTTACTTACAGATTATCAAATAAATTTTCTACACATGCCTTAGTAAAGTTCATTATATATTAGAAATGTATTTATAAACAGAAGGAAAATATCGTTAAAAATCCTTCTTTTGGTAAATGCATGCTGCAAAATAAAATCCTTTCATTTTTCTTCATAAATTCCATCAGAGGACGAAAGGTGTTGGTAAAGAAGAGTTTTCCTTTTGTCTCTATTCATGGTCTTTTTACAGATATGTTTTATTTTTTAATTTTTTTTTTTTTTTTTTTTTTTTTTTACAGCCACCCACACCCCTATTGCATTAGAAACCAGCAATACACTGAAGTAACTATTTGCCTCGTTTAACTTACCGTGAAGGAAGAACAACAATGTCGTACACTGTAATTGTATAATAGGACAATAATATCAAATATACTTTTCTCAAGTCTATTCTTTGTTCCTTAAATGATTACTGGGCGTGTGCAGAAAAAATAAGCGAAAAAGAGAGAATCATATTGATTCAGCAGTGACCTGCGAGTCCAAATGATAAGCGAGTCAGAAAATGAAATTCTTTCATTATTTAAATGTTTCATGAAAGAAATCCTCAGTAGTGTACATTTGCATAAATTTTCCTTTGAAGATTAAAAAAAAAAGTATATTTCCTATAAAGCTGTATCACATAAGACGAAGAAGAGTTCTAATCATTTATTTATTAAGCCCTCCGGTCAGCAAAACTTGAAAAGATAGTCGGCGTTTGGCTTGCAAAGGAGCGTCCATCACCTGGGAATCTGGAAAAACCAGAGTTCAAATGACTACATCATTGCTGTGTCGGTCTTCATAGCGTATACATTAAGATATCTAGATCGAATAGTGTGTGTGTGTATGTGTGCGTGTTCCAGACCATTGTTGAGTATAAAAGGTTGTAACAACTTTTTTTTATTGTTCCTATTGCCTGAATGATATGTGAGTAACGTAACAGATTTCAGCGCGGAACGTGAAATCGAGGAACAAAATTTAAATTCCGGCCTAGTCTTGTGTTCACTTTCGCACGAAAGTCTTTATGAAAAAGCATTAATTCATTTCCTTCGCTAACCAGTTATGAGTTAAATAACAGGGAATAATGGGTTCGATAGACTGGGGTACCAGAAGAGCAATTAACTTCAAAGGCGTAGACTTGGAAAAAGGAAGCTCCTCCATTTTATTTTCCTAAGAAACCACGGTAATTCACAGACAAAGAAAAAAAAGACATGATCGTCTACGTCCTGAAAGAACAATCTCCCTGTGCCACGCCAGGAAATGTTTCTCTCCGGAATCGATCCTTCAGATCTACAAATCAACCATTCGCCCTTGCATGGAGTATTGCTGCCATATATGGTCTGGAGCCCCTTCTGTTTGCCTCGGGGTTCTTGATAAGCTCCAGAGGCGGATATGCAATATAATTGGCCCTGTTCTGGCATCTCGTCTACAGTCGCTCTCTCTATCTCTCAGACGCGCCATCGCCTGTCTTTTTTACAAATACTTTCATGGTAATTGCTCCGAGCTGCAGCATTCGCTGTTTCCCAGGCTTCATGAGTTCAAGCGCCCTACGAAGCTGGCATCCCGCTCTCACCCTTTCACTGTCGAAACTCCTAGATGTAGCCGTCTCTTCTACTCCAATAGCTTCATGTCTCACACCTCTCGCCTGTGGAACTCCCTTCCCTATTCCAGTTTCCCTGAGAGCTATAATCTCCAACTATTCAAATGTAATGTCAATCGACATCTCCAGTTGTCTTGATCTATCCACTATCCTTCTCCTCATCCTTTCCTCTATCACTCCTATCTGAACTTGCTACAAATCGTCTGTAACCCCTTGCGTCCTAGTGGCTTCCCGCCTTGCTTGGGGTGAAACACTTAAAAAAAAAAAATAAATAAAAGAAAATAATATATATTATATATATATATATATATATATATTAATGATTATAATACATAACTGGTTCTCTGCCTTTAACCCTAACATTTTTCATACGTTTAACAGTTGGTAAATATCATACCATAGTAGAAAATGAATTAAGCTGTTCTATCTCTCTCATATATATATATATATATAAGAGAGAAAGAGATGTGTGCGCGGGAAATGAAAACCTAAGTCTTGAATTTAATTATTTTGAAAGTTAACAATTTTACCGTTGAAAAATAGTATACTCCTTCCTAATCTGTCAAAATTGCAATATACTCAAATTGAAGCAATAAATAAAAATAGAATAATAAAAAAAATGTGACTTGTTTACTCTACAGAGAATAATTTTAAGGGTAAATGAATATTTAAAATATTCATTTCGTTCAATAAGCTATCTATATATTATAGCGTACAGTTTTTATAGACGAGTGAGCTTCTGTTTGAGACAGTAATAGATACAAGTACACACACATATTTTACTGTCCTGTCAGATACAAATGCATTAAAATTAGCAGTTTAACACGAATCCATAACAGAAAGGCAAGCTAATCATTAAGCGCAATTCAAAAGTTTGAATTTCGATCCCGGCAATGAGAATCGAACTCACAATCACTGGCTCTCTTGGATAAAGGCTGCCTTAGTAAAAGATTATTTTTATATATACATATATGAAGAAAAATATACTGAAAAAACAAACAAAAATCCTAATATGCGATTATGCTGTTTTAATGTTTAATGTCAACGTCGGACGTTTCGGTCTAATAGACCATCTTCAGGTTTTGACCCTCGCTTCTCAGTTCCTCAGACACAGACAGCCAGTTTGTTTTAACTGTAGTTAGTTGGTAGAATAATTTTTTTTTATTCGTTACGTTCAATGCCCTTTATTTCGCATTGTATAAGCCCTTGGTTATTGAAG